TAAAAAAGAAAACAAAAAGGATATTCTACAAGAAAGAACAACAAGAAAAGACATCTATGCATCAATCTATTATCTAAAAGAATTGTAATTATGTGAATCTTTAAAAAACAGTTTCATAAAAACTTATACTGTTTGACTTGCATCTAAGATTCCTTTTGCTACTACATCCACTTTAACTTCAGCATTATTGGCATGTATCGTGACAACGCCCTTTACTTCACCAACCGCTCTCGGTTGAAATCGTACAGGTATAATGGAGATACCTTCAGGTTTAACTACAACACTATTCATAGGAAGTGATAAAACAAACTTGCCTCCAGGGCCTGTTGTTGTTTCGCATTTGCAATGAAGTCTAACTGTTTCTTTAGCAGTATTAGTTATTTTAATTCCCATTGAACGCTGTTTCCCAACTCTTGTAGCTGGAATGCGAATTTCTGTCTCATCAACTTCAAATTTTACTTCCTTCTTAGGAGCTCGGTGTTTTTGCAATAATGAACTAAAGGTATTTTCCGTCGCAACCCCTTGAAATTTCATGCTAACTGCATCTACACCATTAGTTCCACCTTCCGTTGTTCCTTCTAAAACGAAGGTTTGCATATATGTTCCTACTCCCATAGGCCGAAATTTTACATCAACCCTCTCTGCATTTTTTGGCCTTAAAACACCACCCAATTTTGTGATATAAAAAATTTCATCATCTACTTTTTGTGCCGCATTTGTAGCGGTTCCCAAACGACGAAACAAAGGTCTATCAACCTGAGCAAACCCCCACGTAATTATATTATCGGTAGGATTAAATATATGAAACACACCAATTGTTGTTTCACGCACATTAGCACTTGGAAGATTTATTTCACCAGGAATTCCTATATGAATAAAATTACTACTCGTGAGTGGTTCTTTAAGTGGTTTCATTTCATATTCATCAGCATCAGCATCAATTGGTGGCAATTGTGGACTAGGTTTTCGTCTTATTTGGTTATTAGATCTATCGGGATCCGGTGTATTTGAACGACTCCTTGAAGGTGCACGAGAACTAAGTGAAGAGCTGCTAGTCTTGTTTCTAATATTCCGAACCGTTTTTCTACCGGGATCGGGTGTTCGTGATCGACTACTGACACCTGATTGTGAAGGAGGTGACAAGCTATGATCGTGTTTAGACTTTTTGTCATTGCTTGGAGTACTTGGTGGTGATTCTGATGCACCGTTTATTGAGCCAACTGCAGTTATATCAATAGGGATTTATTGGTTTTTTTTTTTATTAGTTATTATGCTACGAGAACTCAAATATTTTTGAGCAGAACTATTCTCAAGCGTATTGGCCCGACATACCTTCATTCTCAAGTATTGTTGGAAGAACAGGTTGAACAGATTGGGCAGTAAAATACTCACTTGCATCAAATTTACTCTCTGAGGGCTTGAATACCTCCAGTGTTGACATTGTGTAAAGAAAGATTAATTTCTTTGTGAACGGAAGAAAGATCTAGGGAAGTGTGAGACTTAATTGTTAATGCATTCATGCGTTATTAAAAATTAAAATTCTCCCCTTGCAGGGTTTCGTATTTGTGGTATCATACAGTCTATCATGTGATATACGGATATAATCATATCACGAATTTCAAATAACCGTCGTATCAATATAGTTATCGTCGTGTATTAATTTATCGTTACGTATACGTACGTACTTACATATTAAAATACTAATACTGTATGTATATATATGTATATGTATATATATATTGTATATTTAAAGGAAGGTCGGGTATTATGAGTAAAAGTCCTCATAAAAGGTAGATTTATTTCTAAAATTCATTCAAATAAACTAATGTTCGACTTAATTCTATTAAACAAAAAAAAAACTTGACATCCAGAACTTCTAAAATCTATATGAAAACTGTTGTTTTTTTCGGTGGGAAGGTATTGACGCTCCGCAAATCGGCAAATCGATATTCATATTATTATGCAGATAACAGCATAGGGAAAGTTCGATTTTATTGGTTAATGATGATCGACGTCATCAAAATTTCCGATTGGCTGATTTAATAAAC